CAGGATAGGGATGGATGTCTGGGCTGATCTACTATTGTTAACCAAACAGGGCTGATGTTATCTGGGTTACTGATAAGCAAACAGGGCTGCAGATCACACAACCTTACCACAACAATCAGCAGGGCTTTCCACATTTCCTGGGGTCTCAATAAACTTCATATTTCCTGACCCTGGGGGCTTATGAGAAACCAGTATTTTGATTTTCAGGAGTGGGGGAACTCCTGGTATATTAAAAAAGGAGTTAGTTTTGGCTTCCCCCAACAAATTCCAAGTTAATAAAAAAAAAGCCCTATGTGTATGTTGGTGTGTGTTTGCTGATCCTGGGGCTGGAACTTGGGACCTTGGCATTGTCCCTTAGCTTGTGTGCTCAAGGCCAACACTTTTCCAGTTGAGGCATACCTCCACTCGGCCTGAGTCCCACAGACTTTCTGCACAGGCTAGATTTGAAACTTAAACCTCAGATCTCAGCCACCCCGCTCTCTCTTTCTCTCTTTTTCTTTTTGTCAGTCATGGGGCCTAACTGGCCCTTGGCACTGTACCTCAGCTCTTTAGCTCAAGGCTAGCAATCTACCACTTGACCCACAAAGCCACTTCCAGCCTTTTCAACTTATGTAATGTTGAAGAATCTCGTCAGTAGTGATGAAGAAACAGAGTATTTTGAAGTTCATGAAGAATTTTTACTAAAATAGGTCATAGGCAGGAAAGTATGAGTCACAATGATTTGGACCTAAATCTAATGTCTACTGATACATTTGTGTGCTCCTGCTGTGAATCTTGTACTATTTCCCCAGGGAAAGCAAAGAATTCAGTTATCTATTTTTTTTTTTTTTTTTTTTTTGGTCGGTCCTGGGGCTTAAACTCTGGGCCTGGGCGAGATCTCTAAGCTCTTCAGCTCCAGGCAAGCACTCTACAGCTTGAGCCACAGCACCACTTCCGGTGTTCATGAGAGTCTCTCGGACTTGAACTGGGATCCTCACATCTCAGCCTCCTGAGTAGCTAGGATTACAGGCGTGAGCCACCGGCGCCCAGCTTCACTGATCTTCTTTTCCTTTGTATCTTAAATTAATTTGCTCTATCATTTTAAATGTGTTTTTATTCTTTTAACTTCAGAATGGCACATTCCATACCCTTCTACGGCCTGATATTCAACCTGCAGCACCTGGGGAGCAACATCTTTCTGTTCCAGATTCTCTTTGGCCTTGTCACATTCCTCAGCAGATTCGTTCCCTTCTTGGTATTGAATTATCTGGGCCGAAAACAAAGTCAGATACTATTCATGTTCCTGACAGGACTTTCGATTCTGGTC